TCACCAGGAAGCCCCTGCACCTGGCCTGTGTGCGGGTGATGAGCTGTGCCAGCTTCTCATCCCTCATCTCCTCCAGGAGTCCCAGCAGCCCAGCTTTGAAGAACACCTTGAGAAAGGGAATGTTGCAGCACATCACGGTTGGGTAGAGCACAGCACGGACATGCAGTGAGTGAGTCAAGGAGGGTTTGTACCTTGGTGTGGCCAAATTTGTACTGTGTGTGGTCCACATCGATTGACCCCAGAAGCTTCTCAGAAGCCTTCTTGCTGTCAATGAACTGTCCCTCTGGGATAGCACTGGCATTAAGCACTTTGTATCTGTGAAAAGAGAGAAAGACAAGATTAGTTTTTCCCAACCACCACACTCTAGCTACCGAACACCACTAGCTCATCTGTAGCTCTTTTTGACAACAGAATGCAGCCTGAAGGAACTTACATGAATGAACCCACATTGCTTTTAATGATGCTGAGCAGTGCTGTGCTCTCACCTCTGTTTGAAGTCAGCATAGAGGACTCTGCTGGGAAAACCTTTCCTGCAAATTCTGATGCCTTCCAGCACGCCGTTACACCGCAGCTGGTGTAGCACCAGTTCGTGCTCCATGGCACCTAGAAATTTACAGTATAAATGAATACCACAGTTTCCAGTGTAGAGGAGAATGGATGTATGAGAGAAAGTTCTTTTTCTGCTTTAGTGACTTACCAGGTGTTTTTGTTTCATTTGGGATGATGCAACGGACAAAATGGGGGTGAGTGCTCCGTAGATTGGTCATCAGCTTGTTTAAGTTCTCCTAGAGGGACCAGTTAGTAGTGTGACTTTCCTGTCTCCAGTGTTTGATGAATCAAGCCCATGGTAATGACTTTATGACTTCTCTAAATTAGCTGAGTTTCAGAACACTTAGGTAAATCCACAGAAGCCAAATATTTTTTCTATCTCAAGATATTGAACACCATTTTTAAAGACAAAATACTACTATATTGCTATTGATCCAGTGGAAACTAATATACAATTTCACACATTCACAAAAAGCAATTAATTTTAAGGATTTTTATCTTCTGCCTTCTCAAGTCAATCTAATTAAGTTAAAAAATTTTCAAATAAAAGATAAATATCTCCTTGGAAAATCTTTATAGACTCTCAATTCCTTAATATTTCAACCCCACAGAAATGCA